TAAAATATAAAGAAGTAGAAGAAATGAATTTAAAAAAATTACCTTTCTTCCTATAGGAGGGACCTTTTTTATGTAGGACATAAAGGGTATATTGAAAAAAGAGTACTAGTAGAAATAAATCATTTTGGTTCCAGATCGGTCCCATAACATCATTTTGGAAGGAGAATGATGAGGGGAACAAAACGCACGGCTACATCATGACGTTCGTTGAATTTCGATCGTTCGAGTTCGTTTAGGCCACGAAAATTAATTTTTAAAGTTTGTGCGATTTTTGTCAATTCGTTTATTTTCCTTTATTATTATTATTATTTTTTTTTTACAATTCTAGTTTGATTAAACTTCTTTTTCATTACTTTTAATTGCTCTAAACTACGTTTCCATGTAAATCCTTATAAATAAGGGCTTAGCTCTTTTTTTTTTTTTTTTTTTTTTTTTTAAAAATTTGGGGGTTTTTTTTTTTTTTTTTTTTTTTTTATAAATAAATTCGTGAGTTTATTTTCTTTATTATTTGGTGGATTTCAAATTACTTGTTCTTAAAGTTTTCGCTAGAATTCCTTTCTTTCGCTGCGTCATTTTTGAACTTTTTTTATTCACCTGTTTTTTCCAGGAAGGAAGAAATAAGACATAGCCTAAGACAAAATTTCATAATTAGTTTGCCTAGACTACACATAAATAAAATTAAATTGTAAAGTATATTTACAATGCAAAGATAAAGTTTCAGAATTAGTAAATATATGCAGAGATATTGTAAAATTATTTTGAGCAAAATAAACGACAGATTAGAAATATTTTAAATAATTTGGGAATAGAAACTTTGATATGCTTTGCGTATATCATACAAATCAGGGGCGGACCCAGACCATTTGAACTGTGGGGTCAAAATTTTTTTTTTTCGAACAACGTATCAAGAAAAAAAAGGAAAAATCGGTTGTTTGCTGTTCATGTTCAATATGTGCACTTTGGGAAGAAATCGTTGGATTATATGATACATTTATGGACTAAATAATGGATATGGACCATGTGATATGGATATAGATTTAGAATTTGGACTTTTTGGGACAGAAAATTAAGTTTTCAGCACAAAAAAACACAGAAAATTAAGTTTTCAGCACAAAAAAAAAAAAAAAAAATTCCAGAAAACTGTGGGGTCATTTGACCCCACATGACCCCATGTGGGTCCGCCCCTGATACAAATAGGTAAAATGACAAAAGACAGATATAATATGTATGTTGTAAAATCTGAATGTTTGTGAATAGAGTTAAAATTACATGTGTGGACAATTTGACCAATAGCCTTTTTCATTTCAACTTTAGTTCAAGAGGATAGATCGGAAATTTCTTCCAATTATTGTATACTGTCGACAAGGTAAATAATCAACCGTTATATATAAAGAATTAAAATAGATTTTGAATAAATTTTATAAGGTAAAGAGTAGCTTCATCGGGCATAACTCTATTTCTATTCGAACTATTATATCCCCAGCCAAATTTATTGAAAATAAGTTGTGTATGTTGTCCTCATGATTTATGTTAATCTTTTCTTTTCCGGTAGTTATATATGAAGTTTTACTATATTACCTTTGTAGCAAGCTATGTCTTCGCAAAATCTAGTGGATAGGTGATCGAAGCAGTAGTTATTCTTGACACACGACCACCCATAAAGTTCAGAAGAATATTAGCACTTGCATTTCCCTCACGATCATCTAGTGCAGAGATAAATTTCAAAACCTGCAAAGATTATGATATCAATACAATAGTATAGTAAATACACTTTACCTAGAACAAAATTGTAATTTGCATTTCTTAAAAACTCACTTTTGTAGTATTCGTACGCATAGAATTAAAACCATCTCAAGTGAGCAAAACATTCCCGTGTGGCCATGTTTTTCATTTCTTCAAGTTTTTGTTGATAATTTTCCAACTGTATTAACATCAAGGATCATATTTCAACCCATTTAACCCCTGTTTGGAGCACATTATTATTTCATTTGTAGAAATATTTGGACCATTTGCACTGGCAAAGGCACAATGGTCGGTCCTTCATCCTGACACAATGTGACAAGAGGTTAACAGCTTTTATTCTTTTCTTTTGCCTTTTTCCATTTTGCCCTTTTTACCTCCGACCTACCAACAACCTAATCAATCTCTAAATTCACCTTCTAACTATGCAAACGGAGGGCAGAAGTGGAAAATGGAAGGAAAATCTTTAATGTTACAGAGTGGAAGTCTGCACATTGGGTCCCAAATGACTGCATCATGGTACTGTGCAACGGTCTGAATTTTTCTAAAATGACGAAGAAATGTACACCAAACAGGAGCTTAATAATATAATAGATCAATACATTAAACAACATGAAGTAAAANAATTAAAATCAAATATTATATGGACAATAAATTGCAACTGGGAATAACTTTGTAAACATCGATCTTGCAAAAAACAAATAAGACAAAAAGAAATTTAACATTTTATGCGAGGAAATACCTCTTGTTATATTTAAAGTTCTCATATGCTAAATATTCATAGTAATAGATGTTGGAAAAAATGAGTAAATTGCTCAATTTTGGCAAAATTTTCGGTGGGACCCGTTGGTCCAATTTGGAAGATCGAAGTTGATCATTGTTCTCCTACGTGAGAGCATCGAAACCATATATTTATTTGCCAAAATTGATGAATGGATGAATAAGAAATTTGAGCTCAAAGATGACCATTGGAAGATGGTTATGTGGGAAAAATTAAAGTTAGTTCCACATAGGAAAAATATGAAAGTAAGAACCACTTTAAATATGGTTGAACATTGGAAGGGTGTAATCATGTGTAGTATAGAGACTCTCTCCACGTGCGCGCGCAGGGGGTGCAAATCTCTGACAGAAATTACCTTCGGACCTTGAACTTGTGTGCTTACATGAATGTGCTTACACGAATGTAGGACCGAACGAAGCAAAAATTGCCCCTCCGAAGATCCCACGTTTTGCAATTTTAATTTTTTTTTGCTTTCTCCACTGACTTTTGAGTTCCTGAAACTTCCAAAACTCCAAAAAATTGAAGTGACTCCAATGTTAATTGCCATAGAGTTAATGGCAAATTTATACTATATTAAATCTCAAGTTTTTCAACAATAAAACATATGAAAAATTTTACAAGGAAAGCACACGAAATTCTCTCTGCACGAAAATTTCCAGATTCTGTCGCCGTCTTCTTTCTGTCCAGTGAAGTCGTGGTGGTGGTGATACTGTTCGGACGCTAAATCGGTTCGTCGGAGTAGTTTCTGTAGTACTCAGATTCTGCTGATTTTGCCGTTGTATCGTGAGAAACAAACGCTCGGACTAGACCTCAAGTACTTACGGTGAGGGGGCGAATCTGTTTTAAGAAAACTGTGTTCGCACAGACCTCGGGTTGAAAATTTATTTGCTATTTATTTAATTTGCATTTTATTCTTGCAAATTTATTTATTTAGCGATTTACACGTCTCATATATTGTTTGTTAAATTTACGTTAGAAATAGATTTCTAAAGAAAAATAAAATAAAATACACATTTTTTTCTTTCATTATATATGTGAAAAATAGATTTCACATATACGGTATTTCTATTTGTAAAGTGAAAAAAGTTGTGTTATTTTAGTTAGTGTATGAATAAAAACATTTTATGCAAATATAGGGAGTTTCGCTGCCATATACGGTGAGCTTTCTGCAAATACGATGAGCAGTATATACGGTAAGTTGGAAATACGGTAAGGTGCAAATACGGAAGGTTGCCTGCAAATACGGTAAGCTATCTACATATATGGTAATCGCTGTATACGGTATATGCATATACAGTATGCTTAAAATTGGTGCTTAAACTACACATACGGCATGTGACAATTCGATTTCACTAACACCACTATATTCCAACAAACTTGAAACAGATTCCTAAAGGAAAAATTGGTTTCTTATATTGTTAATTTTAGAAACTAATTTTTTTGTTTGATTTTCAGAAATGGCAAATGAATCGACCAACATGGATGTGACCCAAACTATTGTGCCTATTGAAAATCAGGTTATCGGCTCAACTATGGCTCAAGGGCCAAGCTCTGTTGTGGCTCACACTATGGCTAGATTGCCAAGTTATGTTGTGAGTCAAACTGTGACTCCAACAACTGACCATACCATTAATGTTCCAGTTAATCATGGAGAAATTCAATGGCGTGAATTTCAAAAGGTGGCAACAGAAAATGCTATTTTATCTAACCACTTTGAATCTTGCGAGATTCTTAACTGAGATTGCTCCAAAATTCAATGAGGGTGAGGGAGATATTCAAGTCATTAGTGCACTTGATGCTTGGGCCCATTCAAATTTTCTGTGCCGAAACTATATTATGAATAGCTTAGCAGACACGCTATACAATGTGTATAATACTATGAAAACTGCTAAGGAACTGTGGGAGTCTTTGGACCGAAAATATAAAACTGAGGATGTCGGAGCTAAAAAGTTCATTGTCGGCAGATTCTTAGATTACAAAATGATGGACTCCAAAACAGTTATCAGTCAAATGCAAGAACTCCAAGTGATTCTTCACGAAATTCATGCCGAAGGAATGATTTTGAGTGAAACTTTTCAAGTGGCTACAATTATTGAAAAATTGCCCCCCCGTATGGAAAGATTTCAAGAATTATTTGAAGCACAAGCGAAAGGAAATGAACGTCGAAAAATTAATTGTTAGACTTCGAATTGAAGAAGA